ATATATGTATATGTATATATGTATGTATATATGTCTGTCTGTTTGTCTATTTATTTATTTAGATTTGCTTAGAAAAACCACTGTTGTCCATTGACTTTCCGAATTAACCTAACTTGCCTACTTAGCTTTAAATTGCACTGTAAGCTGATTACTAGTACCTTGCTTAAATAACTAGTTAAGTTTCATGTACTGTCATCATGGCAAAGACAAAACAATATAGTTAACATTGTTACATTAAGTGCTTGATTTTGATTGACAGATTATTAATTAGTTGTTGATTGTTAATAATGATTTCTCTAAATCAGGGGTGTCCAAACTCGGTCCTGGAGGGCTGGTGTTATGCAGATTCTAGTTCCAACTTGCCTCAACACACCTGCAAGGATGTTTCTAGTAAGAGCTTGATTAGCTAGCCCAGGTGTGCTTGATTGGGGTTGGAACTAAACTTTGAAGGACACCGGCCCTCCAGGACCGAGTTTGGAAATGCCTGCTCTAAATGAAAAGCTATGAACTGATGTATATCACAAATTTTCTTTCTCTCTCCCTTTGTCTCTTTTTCTTTAAAGACACGCTCTCAGTGTCCAGCAATGAAGGAGGAATTTCAGGCAGTGCCACTCTTCAGCCGAGTCACTTACAGAGCTCTCCTGGACCCAAACGGCCTGGAAATACTCTGCGCAAGTGGCTGACGAGCCCCGTCAGGCGGCTCAGCAGCGGCAAAGCAGATGGTCATGTAAAGAAACTCGCACACAAGCACAAGAAGAGTCGAGATGTCCGCAAGAATGCAGATGGCGGCTCACAGAAAGACTCAGATGACAGCGCCGCCACTCCACAAGATGAGACCATCGAAGAGGTTGGTGACACGCAAATGCAGTACAACATATTACATCAGCTTCATTTATTTCAATAAAAAACAACAACAACAACATATTAAAGGTGCAGTATGTAAGTTTGACACCCAGTGGTTGAACTAAGTATTGCATTCCTGGATCAAAACACACAAGTTTGACAGAGTTTGAATGCCATTTTACTAAAAATTTAAATAAACCATTTGAAATTGAATTTTAGAACTGTGACTCAGTGCAACCTAATACGTATTAGCAATTTAGCATGTGCATTTAATAATGTTAAAGAAATGTAATATGCATTAATTAGATTTTAAACCTTACCATTTAGTAGGAGTGCAGTGAATGCACTATTCTTCTGAATGGTTTTATTTAATTTTCTGTCATGTTTCGTCTAGTGCAAACAGCTAAATTGCTTATCGCTGCAAATCTAGTCACAGAGTGGTGTTAGGGCATGGGGTTACATGTATACAATGTATACAATGTATACTATATAATTAGTTTTTTAATATTTTTTATGCTGTGGAATGCAAAACAATATCTTTTGAAGAATGTTGTTTACTAGAAGCCATTGACAGACTTTTTGGAAGTCAATGGCTACTGGTTACCAACCTTCTACAAAATACACTTGTATTCAACACTACAAAAAATGAACTCATTAATGTTTTGGAACTGTGAATTTTTACCTTTGGGAGAACTGACAGTTCAATGGAAAAAAAATGTTTAAAACCTGTTAAGTGCATTTGAAATGTAAATGTGGCATTTGTCTATTTTTAAGTGGTGCTCTGTGAGCTTTGTAACTGTCTAAGTGTTATTTATGTCTTGTGGTTTTCACTGCAGACAGTTATAAATACAGTGTGGCACTTCCTTTGACGATTTTTTTTCAAGAAACTGCATTTTTTCCTTCTTTTTTGCTAATACTTGACCCATTGATAGTTGCACTTTGTTTTAGTGCCTTGTCATAGAATTTGCATATTGTTGTTTAGTCTGATTGCTTTAATTGTTCACCTCATTTGCAGGTCGCTTTGGATAAAAGCTTCTGTTAGTGATTCATGTAATGGAAATGTAATATTTTGGTTAAAAAAAACCTTTATATGTTAATGTTATTTTCTCTTTTTGCTCTCGCAGAGGATGAGGAACGAAGGATTGAGCAGTGGCACTCTCTCCAAGTCTTCCTCCTCTGGGATGCAGAGCTGTGGTGAGGAAGAGGGGGAGGAAGGCCCAGACTCTGTTCCTCTGCCGCCCCCTATGGCCATCCAGCAGCACAGCCTTCTGCATCAAGACTCCCAGGAGGACAAGGTAAAAGTCAAAGCATCACTAAAATCATCTGTGGATGCCGAATGACATATGTTGTTTTTATTTTAAGACTACACTACGTTTATTTTAAACTTATGACTGTATATTGGACTAAATTAAATCAATAGTGTTTAAGGAAGTCAAACATGAAAACAAATTGATCTCTGGTATGTCTTTAACAACTAAAATCACTACTGTAGACAGTGTTGGGTGTAATTAGTTACAAAGTAGCTGGTTACTATAATTAAATTACTTTTCTGATGAAAAAGTAAAGTATCGGATTACTTTTTATTTTGTGTCAATCTGGTTCCACTCTAAAACACTTTTTTGTGTCAAGATCCACTACAGGTAATTATTTTAACCATTTAATTACCCCGTTCAAATTCTTCTTTCAACTTCTTTTTACATTAAAGATATAGTTCACCCCCCAAAAAATTTGTGTTCCAATTGTTCCAAACCTGTTTGAGTTTCTTTCTTATACTGATGAATGTAGAAAAAACATTGCAATAATTGATTGCATAGTATTTTTTGTTCCTACTGTGTGTTTCTTCCAATATTCTTCAGAATATCTTGCATAAGAAATAAAACATTTAGAACCACTTGAGTGTGAGTAAATGGGGAGTGAATGTTCATGTTTGGGTGAACTGTCCCTTTAAGTACGCATTTCAAATAGTGTTATATATCAGCCTATACCTATAACTTATCTTTGAAGAAGACTAGTAAGGTTTCTGTTAGGCCTCTCTAACTGCTGTCTGTTTTCTCTTTGTTTCTTAATGTTCTCCAGCATTATGTTGATTTCTGTTCTGCCTCTGTTTTGTCTCAGTTTCCTTATCTCTCTATGTAGTTTTCTCTCCTCCACTTTTATCCTCCTCTTTCCTTCTTTTTTTTTGTACTTTTATACTTCACCTCATCCTTTTATATCATTTTCCTTGTCCGTCAGTTCGTTTGAATACTCCACACATGCACAGTTGTGCTTTGCTCAGTTTCTTGAGGCACAGAAACTGATCCTGTTCAGTATCATTTCCAAAAATATGAACTACTGAATGTTATAGCTTGAGAAAGCCTTTCTGTCCGTGACCTTTCATGTAACCCCTAATGGAGTATTCAGGAGTGTGTACAGTCACATGCGGTGGGCCATGTGTGCTCTTGCTCTTTACCCAAAACCCAAATCTTCCAAACCAAAGCACCTACTTCCGTTCCCTCTATATTAGCCCCTACCATTCTGAAATCAGCCGCTGATTGGCTGGCGAATCAGGAAACCACACAACAATTACCAAATTTGGACTGGAATGTTTCCGCCTTCAGTGTCTGAACGCTACGATGGTGAGCATCACTGCAGAATCACTTAATAAATGGATGATGATGGTTATAAATGACTTTTTAACCCCCATCTGAAACTAATCACTGATTAAATTTAAATAATAATTCAACTATGTAATCATAACCCAAAGGGGATGAACCAATCCTTACAAAACTTTCAAATCAAGGAATAAACATGCAGGGCATTTAACATGCAGATTAGACATTACATGTAAATAATCAAGTTATGAACAAGCATTATTATTCCTGTTAAAAGAATAAACAACAAGGTGTAAAAATTGTGTATTAGTCCATTTGAGTATTAATAGACTATCTGCTTAACATCTGTTGATACTGGCATTTAACAATTTTTCAACCGACATTTAACTGAATATAAGAAACTTTGTAAGTACATGTCAACTTACACTAACCCCAACCCAAACCCTAACCCCAACCTAACAGTCAACTTATAATCTAATGAGAATTAGTTGGCATGTAGGTGCAATGTAACTAAAATTCAACAAATGGACCATCAAAATAAAGTGTCACCAAATAAAAAAGCTCAACATGTTAGTGATATACTAATGAGAATTATTCTTTCCTTTCTTGTTTGCATAGGCTGCTCGTTTATCTGGACGTCCTAGCAGCTCAGAGACACCAAGTGCAGCTGAACTGGTCAGCGCCATTGAGGAACTAGTCAAGAGTAAAATGGTAGGAGATCACAGTCCATCCTTTCGCATTGAATGCTTTGGCACTGTGTACTTAGTTATCCTTCTCTTTCAGAATCTGGAGGACAGGCCCAGCTCTCTCCCTGTTGAACACAGAGACAGCACTAGTCCTTCCTGCAACCCGTCGGATAACTCCCTCTTGTCTTCCTCTTCTCCCATCGATGAGATGGATGAACGCAAGACTGGCTTCCTCAAGAGACGACAGTGCGTCTTATTTTATTCAAATATTCTTATAAAAGATACCTAGAAAAAAAAACTAGAAGGTTACATTATTGGACGATTTTTATAAAACGTTAATGCTGTTTTAAATTCAGCAGTGAGTGCGGCTCTGTGCTTTTCCAAGAAACTATTAAACACTAGTATGCTAACGTTGCCATGAGTCGCAAGTGTGTCCTCTATGGCGGCATCTTTCCTAGCTTGTTTGACTGATTTAGAAGTCATTTTCTGCTTCCTAAGATGTCAAGTATATTTACCTACTACATTGGAATGAATTCAACTGATAGAGGATTATTAACTAGAACGAAAAAGTAATCTTTCGGGACATGTCAACACTACCTGATACAAGTCAAATTGAACTGCATCCCAATCATTACAAGACCTACTGGAACCCACATGGACTCAAGATTCTCACAGAGATCAGTCAGGTTTGGTGAAGGAAAAATCATGGTTTGGGGTTAGATTCAGTATGGGGCCGTGCGAGATATCTACTGAGTGGATTGCAACATCAACAGCCTGAGATATCAAGACATTTGTGCTGCCCATTACATTACAAACCACAGGAGAGGGCAAATTCTTCAGCAGGATAGCGCTCCTTCTCATACTTCAGCCTCCACATCAAAATTATTGAAAGCAAAGCAGGTCAAGGTGCTCCAGGATTGGCCAGCCCAGTCACCAGACTTGAACATTATTAAGCATGCCTGGGGTAAGATGAATGAGGTGGCATTGAAGATGAATCCAAAGAATCCTGAAGAACTCTGGGAGTCCTGCAAGAACGCTTTCTTTGCCATTCCAGATTACTTTATTAATAAGTTGTTTGAGTCATTGCAGAGATGTATGGATGCAGTCCTCTAAGCTCATGGGAGTCATATGTAACAAGACTTTTGTCTAAGTCAGACCTTACTTCAAGACAAAGATATTGAAATAAGAAAAACTCTGGTTAATTATAGTGAGTTAGGAATCATCTGATTGGATAATCCTCTCGAAATTAGTTTATAAATAAACTTCTCTTATAATAAGTCCAAAAACATAAGTAGGGTGAAACTAATTCAACAAACGGACAAAAGCACACTGTTTGAAAAAAAGCACACTGTTATACACTTACCGGCCCCTTTATTAGGTACACCTGTCCAACTGCTCGATAACGCAAATTTCTAATCAGCCAATCAATGGCAGCAAGTCAATGCATTTAGGCATGCAGACATGGTCAAGATGAGTTCAAACTGAGCATCAGAATAGGGACAAAAGGTGATTTAAGTGACTTTGAACGTGGCTGGTCTGATGATTTCTGAAACTGCTGATCCAGTGGGATTTTCATGCACAGCCATCTCTAGGGTTTACAAAGAATGGTAACATTGCGCATATTTAGTTATATTTCTTAATGATAAATTTGTACAAATACTGAATGTAATGGATTGTTTCAACCAGCCATCTTGGTTTGCTTGCTGTGTGAATATGAATATCTTTTCTCTCTTTGATTTTCAGCTACGTCCTGCTGGAACTGGTGGAAACAGAAAGAGACTATGTGAGAGACCTTGGTGCAGTCGTGGAGGTGGGCTCATATTCACTTCTTTTAACAAATACAGCAGTGAGATCACTATGGCGACCACATGCAACCGCATACATTCATTCAACTACTCGTAATTGGCAGATGCTGTCAGGGTTGAGTTCTGGTTGTTCAATAGCCTGTCTATCTAAGGAGATCTGTCTACTGCGGTTTTGTGAACCGATCACGTGATCTTATTTGACTCTTTAAAAGTAACCCTGTGAATCTCATCAGCTGGCACAGGAAATGAAAATGGTGATGTGCCATACGTTCAGTATGGTGGCTCAGTAAAATAGCGTTTTGTATGTCGCTGTCACTATTGTAACCATGCACACGTGCACCTGCAGGGCTACATGAGCAGGATGAAGGAGGAGGGTGTACCCGATGACATGAAGGGCAAGGATAAGATTGTCTTTGGGAACATTCACCAGATATTCGACTGGCATAAAGAGTATGTGTCACCTCAGAAGCAATATCAACTTGCCCTACTTTCATTTCCTAACATGAATTATTTAAACCCTGTCTAGTTTCTTTCTTGCTGAGCTGGAGAAGTGCTTGGAGGACCCCGATAGACTCGCACCCCTGTTTGTCAGACAGGTAGGGAATGAATCATTGTGCCATTTCACTCTTACTAAGATAAATTCGCTTTATCAGACTAATATTGATGAGCTAAACAAACAGACCAACCTAAACAAAATTGGTTTAACCAGTGGTGCTGCTTCTTGAAAAAAAGCACACTGTTATACACTTACCGGCCCCTTTATTAGGTACACCTGTCCAACTGCTCGATAACGCAAATTTCTAATCAGCCAATCAATGGCAGCAAGTCAATGCATTTAGGCATGCAGACATGGTCAAGATGAGTTCAAACTGAGCATCAGAATAGGGGACTTTGAACGTGGAATGGTTTTTGGTGCCAGACAGGCTGGTCTGAGGATTTCTGAAACTGCTGATCCAGTGAGATTTTCATGCACAGCCATCTTAAGGGTTTACAGAGAATGGTCCAAAAAAGAGAAAACATCCAGTGACCGGAACTTCTGTGGCCGCAGATGCCATGTTGATGCCAGAGGTCAGAGGAGAATGGCCAGATTGGTTCAAGCTAATAGAAAGGCAACAGTACCTCAAATAATCACTCGTCACAATCAAGATATGCAGAAGAGTATCTCTGAACACACAACACATCCAACCTTGAGGTGGATGGGCTACAGCAGCAGAAGACCACACCGGGTTCTACTCATGTCATCTAAGAACAGGAAACTGAGGCTACAATTTGCACAGGCTCGCCAAAATTGGACAATAGAAGATTGGAAAAACGTTGCCTGATCTGAAGAGTCTTAATTTCTGCTGCGACAGTCAGATAGTGGGGTCAGAATTTGGCGTCAACAACATGAAAGCATCAATTCATCCTGCCTTGTATCAACGTTTCAGGCTGCTGCTGGTGGTGTAATGGTGTGAAGGATATTTTCTTGGCACACTTTGGGCTCATTTGTACCAATTGAGCATCGTGTTAATGCCACAGCCTGACCTGAGTATTGTTGCTAACCATGTCCATCCCTTGATGACCACAGTGTACCCATCTTCTGATGGCTACTTCCAGCAGGATAAAGCGCCATGTCATAAAGCCTGAATCATCTCAGACCGATTTCTTGAACATGACATTAAGTTTACTGTACTCAAATGGCCTCCACAGTCACCAGGTTTCAATCCAATTGAGCACCTTTGGGATGTGGTGGAACGGGAGATTCGCATCATGGATGTGCAGCCGATAAATCTGCAGCAACTGCGTGATGCTATCATGTCAATATGGACCAAAAACTCAGGAATATTTCCAGTGCCTTGTTGAATCTATGCCACAAAGAATTAAGGCAATTCTGAAATCAAAAAAGGGGTCCAACCTGGTACTAGTAAGGTGTACCTTATAAAGTGGCCGGTGAGTATATGATGCAGCAAAAAGAACCAACCTAGGTATTATAACTGCTTTTATCATTGTTAAACAAATATTTCACCAAAAACAAAATATATATATATCATAATTAGTTCGCTCTTAAAGCAACATTACTTTTTTTTTTTTTTTTTTTTTTTTTAGAACATAGGCTTATTTTACAACCATCAGCATCTCGCTCATTATTACGCCAGAATGAGAGTATAGTTCCTAGTCATTAGACTTGGAAAATAGGCACTTTTTTCTGTCGGTCTTAGTACATGTAATTAGAGAAAAGTCTAGCTTTAAATAGAAAAATTATCTAAACTCTCATATTTGAGGAAGATGCTAATGGTCAAATCCAATCCAATGATCTGTGCTAAGCTAAGCTAAAAGTGCTCCTGCCAGACCCGAAGATGTGGATTATTGTATAAAATTTTTTTTTATTTAAACGTTATCATTGTTAACAGTTCTCACCTCTACTATGCCTATATCCTGTGTGATCTGTGTTGCTAGAGTTGTGGTTTTCTCACAAAACTGGGGTCTTTTGAAAATGCAATTACAGGAAAAGTTCCAAAGTTGCAGTTTGCACTGTTATTTTCAGAACATGGCGCAGCTGCCAAAGTGTTTCTTTCTCACAAATATGCAATGAAATCTGCTAATATCTTAATGAATTAGATCAGAAATAAATGCCTGGCAACCCAATGAGCATTTTAAATAAGCAGACCATCAGTTATTCCCAATCTGAACAAGATACTAAGAAGTGGTGTTTGGTTTGTGCAAAGTCAATGAGAACTTTAACATGTATACTGTATCTATGAGTATGAGTATTACTAAAAAAAATCTTAGAAGCCTTTTAACCTTTCCATGGTTTTGGAAAAAGAAATTGACTCTGATTGGACAAGGAAAAATGAGCTACTTTTTATTCCTTTTGAGTGGGTGGGGCTGGACCTGGCAACCCTATGTGTCATACAGTATTTCTAATGCAGTTCTCTTTAGAATATGAACCCCAAGTGTTTTAAATATGATTATTTTTCTACCATATACCATCAATTCAATTCATTAACCCACTAGAGTCATACAGATTGCTTTTATTATGGATGGACTATAACAGTGTTCAATGATGGAACAATAAAGTTGCACCACAGCTGTTGTTATTGTTGCATAATCTATTTTAGCACAGCTAGAAAGATGTATTGATCAATCAATATGAGGTGTTTACATGATGACTGAGTCATAATGTTCTGTAAATGAAACTGTACTTGGTTACAGGAACGTAGACTACACATGTACATCGTGTACTGCCAAAACAAGCCCAAATCTGAGCACATTGTTTCGGAGTACATAGACACGTATTTTGAGGTAAGACTCCAGTCACTGCCTACATCCTTCTTGACATTTAACCATGAGTCATGAAAACTGAGACAGACTCATAACCACACTCACATCTCATCTTTTTGTTTTTGCTTGTAATTTCATCAGGATTTAAAGCAGAGGTTGGGCCACAGGCTACAGATCACAGATCTACTGATTAAACCAGTGCAGCGGATCATGAAATACCAGCTTCTGCTAAAGGTCGGATATGGAAATTACTAGGGGTGTAACGATACACTCAGCTCACGATACGATGTGTATCACGATATAATGTTCACGATTTGATATGTATCACGATATTTTGAATAAAAATTGAAAATTAAACTGAAATGCAAATTTTACCAAGTAAATTATTTTTTATGTATTTCTTTTGTTTCAACTTGTTAAACTGAACCTTCTTTAAGAAAATAAATTAAACAGGCCTGTCACTGGAAAATAAAACAATTTAAAAACTTCTTTAAAATATTATTGAAATGACACAGAGACAAAATTAAGGAACAATTTAAGTAAAGGTGCAAAAAAATAAGCTTTCTATCCAATTGAATTTAACAGTAAGTGCTTAAGGCTTTGCTTGGTATTTAATTCATATTTAATTAAATTCATTTCAAGATATCTCTAATTACAATTGTGACTAGTCAAAACTCATTTAGTGATATCTGCAAATATTTTTCAATGGAGGAATATGACTAGTCATGATATATTTGCAGATATCTCCAATCTGATTTTGTACTAGTACAATTGTAATTGCAGATGTAATTTAGAGATATCTCTAAATATATTTATGGTTAGTCAGAACAAAGGTTTAAATGCTAAAACGGCTTGCCATACGCGCGTGTCTATCAAAGTCCGCCCTCTATAGTAACAGCTCACGGTCAGCGCACGTCATGTGTGATTTTGCGGCGGGAACATTATATGAAGACAGAATGATATTTTAGGGTGAATTGTACCTTATAAATACAGTATGTGATTCTTTCAACACCATTAGGAGGTATCCCTGTCGCTGTGCAAAGTATGTAAATCACTGTGAAGACTTTAAAACTTAGGGTGTTTGACCCAGTATGCGTGTCAAAAAGCGGACGAGTCTAAAGCAATGACTGTACAACCGAAATGTTGCCAGACGTCTGATTTTGAGAGGATGGGCCATCCTCTATTTCAGCTTCACTCATCTTGGTCTGCTAACATTACTGCTGCTGCAATCTGAACTCACGTGCGACAGCAGGTGGAACGTAGCTCACGTGCAAACAGCTCAACTAATAAGAGAAAACGGACGTCATATCGTAATCAAATCGTTATAACGCCACGATGCATATTGTAACATTTTTGCATCGCAATAAAATCGTACAACGATAAATCGTTACACCCCTAGAAATTACAGTATATAATATACTGTAGTCTCAAGCTTATATGAAGAAACTATATTGAGCAATGAGATTTCTAGATTTGCATCATGCATTAATGATTGTTTCTGGCTGCTTTTCTTGTTTACTCATTTTAGGATTTACTCAAGTTCACCAAAAAGGCTGGGTTGGACACTGTAGATTTAGAGGTAAGTGTGTGTGTGTTTCTGATTTGGTGGTTTATAAATGTGTATAGTGACATGGGTATGACCTGGGTGTTGAGGTGGTTTATGAGAACATGTCCTGTGTCCTCAAAATTTGCCACAGGTTTCCTGTAAGAGTTGTGTTTAGGTTTAGGGTAATGTAATGTGAGTGGTTTTTAGAGTTAAAAAGTAAGCCAATGAACACCAATGTCCTTGTAAATCAACAAACAAAGTGTATGTACTTGTTTATGTAGTTTAAGAAGACGATTATTTATGCCATGGGTATAATCTATGTGCCCGTTATTGAGGTAATTTAGCAAATGTTTTGCGCCCTGTAAATCAAAGCTCTTCAAATTCATACATAACAAGGTTTTTTCTTTTTAAAATTGCCACAGGTTTCCGGTGAGTTTCGGTTAGGGTTAGAGTTAGGCAAATTTGATATTGTGTTTTTTTTTTTATAGTATAAAATACATGGCAATAATGGATCCCAATAGACACAAGTGTCCTTGTAAACCACAAAACAATTGCAATTGTCTGTATGTTAGTGATGTAACAATATTGTAAATACCGTCATAACGCAATAGTAATTTTTTTCAATATTACCGCAGGCGCATGACTCAATAAAACTATATTTCTGAGAAAAGTTTGCTTGGGCGAATGAAGCGAACGGGAGGTAGCGGGAACTACAATTCCCTTCAGCCTAGGCATGGCCATCATCCTTTGCGGTCTGTTGTCACTACAGATCCAGTAATGCGGAAATGGAGTGTGTTGCTAGTAGCGGGGAAGAAAAAGAGCTGAAAATGATCTAACCTAAAGCAGGTTTTAAATCGGATGTGGAAACATTTCGGTTTCTTTCTAAAACGATACGAAAAAGTAGAAAATGTGACAGACAAAGAAAAAAACTGTATGCAGGCACTGCCAGACTGTGGTGAAATATATGTTGGGAAATACAACTAAAAACAGTCATGGGGACTGCAGAACACAGCACACTTGTTCGATTGATGCAGACATTGACTTGTACCGCTAAGAGACCTCTATCTCACTCATGGCTTGTCCTCTCAAGTGGTGGAAAGACAATGCACAACGTTACCCACTGCTGTCGACCTTGGTTAAATCATATCTCTCTGTCCCAGAAACCTCAGTCCCAAATGAGAGGGTTTTATTTTTCTGTTGCAGGGGACATGCCCAGAGATCCCAGCTTTTACCAGATTATAGTTATATGATAATTTTCCTTAAAAACCCATCTCTATCTAAATGAGTGAGTGAGTGATTAAATGTTGAATGCGAGGAGTTTTCAACAATACTAAATTGAAACTTTATTTTTTTTATATGGTTTAATAGTTTTTTGTTATTAAAATTGAAAAATTGAAGTTCCTGTTTCAAAACTTACAGATAGATGGCTAATTTGTATGTCATTGATATGTTTAGTGCTAAGGTAAATAAACACTTTTGGCACTTTTTTCGAGTCTTTTTATTAGTTTTGTTTTTCCTGTAAATTATTCAATAAATACTGTACCGTGCCATTCATACCGAGGTATTATCGTACCGTGAAATTCTGATACTGTTACATCCCTACTGTATGTACTTTATGTGGTTTACGAGGACACTACATTGTTTAATGAAATAATTATGACCTAGGTGCATATTATTAAGGTAGTTTAGGACATTCTTTGTGTCCTTGTAACTCAAAGAGCTTCAAATTCTTACTTAAGATGGTCTTTTGTCATCTAAAAAATGCCACAGGTTTCCAGTGAGTTGCAGTTAGGGTTAGGCAAATGCGATGTATGCATTATTTGTATAGTATAAAATACAACATTCTTCAATGTAATGACTATGACTTAGGTGCACATTGTTAAGGTAGTTTACCACATGTTTTGTGCCCTGTAAATCTAAGCTCTTCAAATTTATACTTAATAGGATTTTGGGTCATTTAAAAATTGCCACAGGTTTCCCGTGAGAGTTGCAGTTATTGTAAGATTTAGGGTTAGACATATGTAATATGCATGCTCTTTTTATAATAAAAGATACATAACAATAATGGATCCCAATAAACACAGGTGTCCTTGTAAACCATGAAAACAAGCATCCTTGTACACAAAAAAAATAAAAATAAAATAAAAACAATTGTGTGTTTGTATGTACTTATTTATGTGGTTTACGAGTACACAACATTGCTTGATGTAGCGAGTATGATCTAAGAGCACATTATTAGGGTAGTTTAGGTCATGCTTTGTGTCCTCGTAATTCAAAGCGCTTCTAATGCATGCTTTACAGGGTCTTTTGTCATTTTTAAACCCTAACTGCAACTCTCAAAGGAAACCTTACTTTTAAGGAATCAGATTTACAATTTAGTTGATGGGATTTAGTTGATGGGAAATAAGTAGATTGTGTATGCTATAAGGGCTAGACCATATTATTACTACACACATCATTGTGCAAACCCTAAACGATGTCCTAGAAAGCAAACCACTAAGCAAAACCCTAGTACCACCTCCAACACCATAATATTATCATAGCAGATTTACACATGCATGCACAAGTTGCCAGTTTTTTTTAGAAAATGTCAGAAATGTATATAGTTGTTAATATTGTTTTATCTACACAAACTCTTCACAGAAAGCGGTGGAGGTGATGTGTGTTGTTCCTAAGCGCTGCAATGACATGATGAATGTTGGACGCCTCCAAGGGTTTGATGTAAGTTGCATTTCTTTCTTCCTTTACAAAAGTTTGTGTGTTGGGGTGAAGGTAAAACACATCCAGTTGACAGTTCTGTGTGAATGATTTGGCAGGAATGTCCAAGTGCAGTTCAGGTTACTAACACAGATGTGCACAAATCAAATCAAACCAAGATAGAAGGACTTTTCATCACCCTATGAAAAGAGTTCAGAAGAGTTTGTTGGATGCCTGACAAAATAATTAACATTCCAAGCAATTAAAACAGCGGCCTTGCCTTAAAAAAAAAACTGAACCATCACACTTTACACTATTTCAGCCTACACTGCATAAATTCATTCATTCATTCATTCATTTTCTGGTCGGCTTAGTCCCTTTATTAATCCGGGGTCGCCACAGCGGAATGAACCGCCAACTTATCCAGCAAGTTTTTACGCAGCGGATGCCCTTCCAGCCGCAACCCATCACTGGGAAACATCCACACACACATTCTCACACACACACTCATACACTACGGACAATTTAGCCTACCCAATTCACCTGTACTGCATGTCTTTGGACTGTGGGGGAAACCGGAGCACCCGGAGGAAACCCACGCGAAGGCAGGGAGAACATGCAAACTCCACACAGAAACGCCAACTGAGCCGAGGTTCAAACCAGCGACCCAGCTTGCTGTGAGGCGACAGCACTACCTACTGCGACCACTGCCTCGCCCTGCATAAATTCATTTAAAACATTTAATGGAATATAATACATAAAGAAAATTGAATTATGTACATTTATTGGGCTGTACGATATTGTAAAATCTGGCGTTGTAATATTTAATTTTTGGGCATGAATTCTTTAAATTCTCACGCAGTCAAAAGATCCCAAAAATTCAAAACACAACAAGAACAGGAAACACGGAGTAGTGCACACAACAACAGTGAAATAAGACTGAGTTAAGCCACGGTCACACTGCACTTGTATCCCCATAGACATCCATTCATACGCACTCGAATGCGGCAGACCGGAAACGCAAGCTTGTTCGACAAGTTTCGCAGTTCACTGCGTCGCAATGTTCAAACTTGGTGAACTCTGACCTGCAAAATCGCATCACAAGACTGTGTGAGACCAATCGACGGTCAAAACATGACCTCTTTCTACAGAAATTTAAATTATAGACCAATCGCTCGCTTTTTTTTAATGTCTAATCATCTTGTTTAATCCCGCACCCTTTCACAGCACCATACGACAAAATTTCACAAGCTCAAACTCTAATGTGACTGTTGCAAGCGAATATGGTGTTTATATAGTGCGTGTAATCAGTGTAAATGATGTGCAGTTGTGTGTGAATGTCTGTGTTCAGATAGATATCAGCTGTATCAGATAATCTGAATGAATGCAAAGCATGATGGGATGTGTAGATAGGGTTAACGCCAACCTGATTTCACCAAGTAGGGCATGTTTCTGAATTAACTTCTGTGTTGATTGTGGAATAACATTCCAATCAGCCAATCAGAATTAAGGGATATGTTTACGGTTAAGTTTAGGCTTACGGTTAGGTTTATGCACTTCTACATGATTGTTATCCAACTTTTATTCCCCTCTGAATAATTTACAGTTATGGTTGGGTTTAGGGGTAAGGAATGCACTACCTGACAAAAGTCTTGTCATTGATCCCAGTTGTTAAAGCAACAAATATTAACTTGACTTCTAATTGATCATTTGGAAAGTGGCAGAAGGTTAATTTTTCAGATGAATCATCTGTTGAACTGCACCCCAGTCATCACAAATACTGCAGAAGACCTATTGGTACCCGCATGGAAACAGAAATCAGTCAAGTTTGGTGAAGAAAAAAAATCATGATTTGGGGTAACATTGAGTTTGGGGGTGTGCGAGAGATATGCTGATTGGATGGCAACATCAACGGCCTAAGGTATCAAGACATATTGCTCCATCTCATACTTCAGCCTCCACATCAAAGTTCGTGAAAGCAAAGAAGGTCAAGGTGCTCCATGATTGGCCAGCTCAGTCACCAGACATAACCATTATTGAGGATGAATCCAAAGACACTTTATGAACTCTAAGAGTCCTGCAAGAACGCTTTCTTTGCCATTCCAGATGACTTTATTAATACGTTATTTGAGTCATTACAGAGATGTATGGGTGCAGTCGTCCAAGCTCATGGGAGTCATACACAATATTAATACTTTTTCCACTGCAGCATGACTTTATATTCTATACTGTACATTATTTCTGTTAAATGACAAGGCTCTTGTCTAAGCAAAGTCAGACCTTACTATCCTAATTAAATAAAATCAAGGCATGATCCTATCCTTTGCCTTTCATATAAGCCACTTCTGATACCAAATGATCAAGAGAAGTCAAGTTATTATTTGTTGTTCCTAAAACTTGCATGGATGAGAAGACTTTTGACTTTTGTCAGGTAGTGTAAGTATGGATTACATTTTTGAACAAAAAAGATGTTCCAGGATCAACATAGATGTTAATCCAGGATTGCATCTTACGTGGCAAAATCATGACGTGTGCTACAGGTGAATGGCTGGAGAAATGTTCATAAAGCTGGAGTGTCCACCAGACTCACTAGAGGGCACTCCAGCTTTATGAACGTTAGTCCTGATGACTGTATGATGTAACACACACACACACACACACACACACACACACACACATATATATATATATATATATATATATATATATATATATATATTATATATGTTATGTCAAAATAGACGTTTAATTTGGATGCGATTAATTGCAATTAGTCTTTGCCCAGCATTAATCTGACCAAAGTTTGCTATTCCTAGTCATTTACCCATAGGCATCCTAAAACAATCACAGAAAAGAACTTGTGTTTGTGTGTTTTTGCTTTTAATCTAAGCATTCTAGTGATCTCTGTGCTATGTTTGTTCAGGGTAAAATTGTAGCCCAGGGTCGACTGCTTCTTCAGGATACCTTCATGGTCTCAGATCAGGATGGTGGTCTTCTTTCTCGCTTGAAGGAGAGACGCATCTTCCTCTTCGAGCAGATAGTTATCTTCAGCGAGCCTCTGGATAAAAAGAAGGGATTTTCTATGCCAGGCTACCTTTTTAAGAACAGCATAAAGGTATGTAGGTATAACCACTGCTGTAAAAAAAAAACACTGTGGCACAACATAGACCTTATAAATCCATGTCACTCTTTTCCTGCAGGTCAGTTGGCTGGGTCTAGAGGAAAGTCCTGACAATGACCCTTGTAAGTTTATTTTGACCTCAAGGTCATCGGCTGGCAGTTTAGAGCATTACGTCCTCCATTCCTCCAACCGGGTGGTTTGCCAGACCTGGATCCACCAGATCAGCAGCATCCTGGAGAACCAGAGAAACTTCCTTAATGGTATTATTCAGACAGTGTCCTTTAAACTAATCGTCATAAATATTTTTAATGATTATTAACTTTTGTAGCTTTGCTACATTCATTCAAGATGATTTGTTTGATGATTTACATGTTTTAACCAACCAGAGTTAGGTGTAATTAGTTACAAAGTAACTAACTACTGTAATTAAATTACTTTTCTGCTAAAAAGTAAACTATGGGATTCATTTGAACTTATCATGTACTTGCATTAAATGCATGTAAATAAATGTAACATTAGTGTATAAAGCAGAGGAAATATTTTTTGTTTTACAATATGTTTTGTCAAATAATTGTATTTTTAAGTAAAGAAGATTGAATTCATCTCTGATGATTATACATGACTAAATAAGTAAAGAAATTACAAAATATAAGGTATAGATTCAAAGAAGCAAAGTACATGTGTGTATTTATATACTAGGGATGTCAAAATGAATTGATTCATAGATGCACTGTGATGCAGACACAAACAATTCGGTATCGGTTCAGTAGTAATCATAACCAGTTATTATGTACTGACGTCATTCGTAACATATGCGTTATATGGCAGTAACTTACTATGGGATTGAACCGAATCGATGGCATGATTATCGTAACCGAACCGTGAGACCAGTGTAGGTTCACACCCCTAGTACATGTATATACTATAAAAATATACTATATATACATTTGTCAATATATGGTATGTGTGAAATATATGGTGTCTCTATTTTAAAATGTTTTTAAGTGTTATGTGCCCTACATTGTTTAAATAAAACAAAAAATTCCCGTTTGACTAAAGAATTTAAAGAGTTTAATGTCAGTTATCTATGCCTTTATCTATGATTTTAAGAGTCAAATTACTTGAGTAATTCAATTACTTTTCAGACAAAGTAATAAGAGCAGTAATTTAAATACAATTGGATAATATAATTAGTAATTAGTGATTTAATATCTTCTTGGAAGTAACTTGCCCAACACTGTATTCAAAAATGTGTATGTTGTCTTATCAGCACTGACTTCACCCATTGAATACCAACGGAATCATGTTGGCTCAAGCGGCCTGGCCGGACCCAGCAGCAGTGGACTTCCAGGGGGAAGCAGCAGCTCCTCGATGGGTCCTGGTTGTGGCTCCCGGTCACGAGCTTCTCGAATCCCTCAACCTTCCTCTCGTCTCCCCCAACCCGTGCAGCATCACCATGCCCCCGCCCCAGATGACCGCACTTCAGGTACGTGCCCTCCTCCTATTAAGGACCTAAACGGTGAGGTCCCTAGGATGCGGGTACTGGAGAGCCCATTGAAGGAGCTGCGTGAGGAAGCCCAATCAGGGATGCCCATTCCAAGAGCGACAGTCGCACCCCTGTCTCTCACCCTAACAAAACCCCGTCTCAGAGCCCCCTCGCCCATCCTCCCCTCCTTGAACCCTCAGAACTTTACTACCTTCGCACCGAGCATGCCAGCCCAGAAGGGCTCTGCATTTTGGGCGTGTATGCCAGCCTCACCGACTGGCAGGCCTGGCTCATACACAGAGCAGAGTGACACGTTAAGTCGCAACCAGTTTCAAACACGCAGGCACTCCGCCCACAGTAAAGAGTTGGACCGCATCAGTACTTGCTCTTCTACCAGTGAGCAGTCCCTGCACTCCACTTACAGTAATGGGGTAAGAGCAAAACTCTAGCTCCTGGCTTCAGCAAGGCCTGCTTCACCTCCACCTCCAGCTTTGTACTAACCTGCTGAGGTGTTCGTATTTGCGTTGTCCTGGAAATAAAAACTTCTCACAGGCTCTTGTGGATATTAACTGGCCTGGTTTGACTGTGCTGAGCAACTAACAATCTACACTGTTAACCAGGATAACTCCTCGTGAGTTTCTCTGAAACTCAAACATTCCTGGACTATCCCTGCTGATTCTGTCTTTGCTTTGAACTGAAAGGATTTTCTCGTTCTAACCGCCTGTGAATTTCTAATATGCAGCGATTAAGAGCACATAAACAAGCTAACTAACAATTACTAATGCCTTTTCTTTTTAACCCGCTTGCAGCTTTTTTTGACAGATTTAAAAACAAATGTTTTTTGAGCTGAGGTGGGACTTTTTAAAACAAAAGCTAATAATTCCATCAATCGTTTTTTTTTTTTTTTTTTGCAAACCAGAAGCTTGTGGTGTTTGCATTTAACATCACAAGCTTCTAGTTTGCAAGGACAATTGTCAATAATACTGGAAAAAATTGGGTATGTCCTTAAATGCAGAATAGCTCATCAATACAGTCTGTCCATTTCCTGAAAATAAAGAAATAAATATTATATATAATAATAATAATGTATAAAAGAAAAAATGTATATAATAAAGTTTTAAGAACAAATTTCTAATAGCTAGTTTCTTTTGTCTTCTCTATGATGACAGTACATAATATTGTATTAGTTATTTTGCAAGATACACTGGTATTTAGCTTGAAGTGCAATCAACAGGGTGTTCGCAGGGACTTAAAAAGTCTTAACATTTCTTAAATTAAATTAAACTTGAATTTAAAAAAACTTCAACTTTAAATTCCGAATTTTAGACCTCAAATTTGCTGAAATAATGTGTTGTAGGTCTTTAAAATATTTTTAACAGGTTTTAAGTTTCCTATGTCCATTTAAAGTTACCCAGTCAAACAAACACCCATACAATCACCAGCAATACATACAGATCTTAATAACACTACTACAAATAATAAAATCTTAAAATTGTATTTACCGATATGGTTTAAATATCTTCCTTACAATAACAATTGTTGTCATTGTTTTAACTGGGCCTTTGAAAATTTCCTTAGGGTTTAGCTTTGTGTAAGTCTGAAATTTTAATTTATAATGTTCTTAGAAAGGTCTTAAAAGTCTTAAATATGTCTTGATGAAACCTGCAGAAACCCTGAATAAAAAGGCTTTTTAGCTTGACCAACTAATTTGGTTAACTAGGTATATTAGCTTAGCTAAGCAAGTCATTGGACAAGTGGTTTGTTCTGTAGCCAATCAAGATAAATGATAATAATAACTGAAGGGGTCTAATAATATTGACCTTAGCAGTTTAATCTACATATTATACTTTATGCTTTAGCAGGCCACTAGCAAATGATGGTCTCAAAGGTAAAATGCATGGACCTAAAAGTCAAACAACGATTTAAGTTTCTGTTAACCTACAGCACCTTAAGGGGAAATCCCACTAGAGGCAATTTTCAGTAATAAAAGGCAAGGAGTCATTCATTTTAAATAGAAGTAGGCTATCAGAGACAAAGTGATCAATAGACACGGTGAATAAATGCTCTAGCAAATATGAGTAGGGGTATAGACATCGAAACTCACACCATCCACCTCATGATACACTTAGTACAGCATCTAGATAACATCAAGCTCTTAATATGAACAACTCGTAGGAGGATCTTGTAAACTAAAATGACTTTGCTTTGTAAATAAACTTTCCTAGAACTGCTCTCACTTGCATCATTCTTGCTCTCTGGCATGTCCAGCTCACTAAATGTCTTGAAAATACTTCAAAATAACATCACGCTATTATGCTAATACTGTGTGTATGTTTCTGCTGTCAGAGTGAAAGCAGCAGCAGCAGCAGTGTGTCCACCATGTTGGTGACCCAGGACTACGTGGCTCTAAAGGAGGATGAGATCAGCGTATATCAAGGAGAAGTTGTGCAGATATTGGCGTCTAACCAGCAGAACATGTTTCTAGTATTCCGTGCCGCCACAGAACAAGGCCCAGCAGCTGAGGGCTGGATCCCCGGCTACGTTCTGGGTCACACCTCCATCATCATTCCCGACTACCCTGATGGAACCCTCAAGTGAGGATTGGATATTAATTGTTATATGTTATAAAGACTGTTATTTTATATTATTTGTTATAAATCTGACTCTTCAGTCAGATTTAAAGTGAAGACACACCATAAGTCTTTATAACTGGGTAAATTATGTTAACCAGTACTCATGTATCATGGCTGTAGCAGGCACAATGAAAATATGCTGCACATGGAAATAGTACCCAGTTAGCTAACTAGGTAAATTGTTAACCAGTACTTTCTTAGGTAAATACATTGTACAGTAAGTGCCAGATATGACTATGTTACTATTAAATAGTTGTGTTTTACCATTTTTGAATCCGTTAAGCCAATCTCTGTGTCTGGTGGTAACACTTTTTAGCTTAGCTTAGCATAGATAATTAAATCAAACTGTTAGCATCTTGTTCAAAAATGTAAAAAATAGATTTGTTAGTTTTCCTTAATTTTCAGTTTAAAGCTAGAGTCTTCTATAGTTGCTTCATTAAAACATTATATTCTCACTCAGGCGTAATGATCAAGCAACTTTTGCTGCTGTACCTTGGCTGTAGCAGGCACAATAATATTAAGCAGCACATGTAAATAGTCGCCAGTTAGGTAACTGGGTAAATTATGTTAACCAGTACTCTCTTTGGTAAATACATTGTACAGTAAGTGCCAAATATTACTATGTTACTATTAAGCAGTTGCATTTTACTATTTTTGAGTCCGTTCAGCCGATCTCCGGGTCTTGCGGTAACACTTTTTAGCTTAGCTTAGCATAGATCATTAAATCAAACTGTTAACATCTAGCTCAAACAAAAAAAACAAGAAGAGTTTGGATAATTTTCCTTAATTTTACTTTTAAAGCTTGAGTATTCTGTAGTTACTTCATTAAAACACTAATACTCACTCAGGCGTAATGATCAAAGGACTTTACTGCTGTAATGTAGCAGGCACAAAATTACGCAGCACATGAAAATAGTTCCCAGTCAGCTAACTAGGTTAAATTTTAAAATATTATATTATATTATTATTCATTCATTTTCTTGTTGGCTTAGTCCCTTTATTAATCCGGGGTCGCCACTATATTATATTATATTATATTATATTATATTATATTATATTATATTATATTATATTATATTATATTATATTATATTATATTATATTATATTATGTTATATTATGTTATATTATATTATATTATATTATATTATATTATATTATATTATATCATATTATATTATATTATATTATATTATGTTATATTATATTATATTATATTATATTATATTATATTATATTATATTATATTATATTATATTATATTATATTATATTATATTATTCATTTTCTTGTCGGCTTAGTCCCTTTATTAATCCGGGGTCGCCACTATATATTATATTATATTATATTATATTATATTATATTATATTATATTATATTATATTATATTATATTATATTATATTATATTATATTATATTATATTATATTATTCATTCATTTTCTTGTCGGCTTAGTCCCTTTATTAATCCGGGGTCGCCACAGCGGAATGAACCGCCAACTTATCCAGCAAGTTTTTATGCAGCGGATGCCCTTCCAGCCACAACCCATCTCTGGGAAACATCCACACACACATTCACACACTACGGACAATTTAGCCTACCCAATTCACCTGTACCGCATGTCTTTGGACTGTGGGGGAAACCGGAGCACCCGGAGGAAATCCACGCGAAGGCAGGGAGAACATGCAAACTCCACACAGAAACGCCAACTGAGCCGAGGTTCAAACCAGCGACCTTCTTGCTGTGAGGCGACAGCACTACCTACTGTGCCACTGCCTCGGCCCTATATTATATTATACTTTATTATATTATATTATATTATATTATATTATATTATATTATATTATATTATACTTTATTATACTTTATTATAATATATTATATATTATATTATATTACATTATATTATATTATATTATATTATATTATATTATATTATATTATATTATATTATATTACATATCTCTAGATAGATTTTTAGCTGAGTAATTACTTAAATTACAGTCCTTTCATTAAACAGATCTATTATAAAACTTGTAGAACTGTGTGCCAGTTTTTTGGCTAACTTTATCCTATGTTTGATGTGTTTGAATTCCTTTTAAAGCTTGGAATGCAGCATAACACATGGTATTCTACAGTATTTAGATATATTAATTACTAAACCTGAGTAATCTAACCAAACACACAGATATCTAATGTATGGAAATACAAGCAAATTACAGATATGACACACAAGTTCATATTTGGATTTTCCATGTATTTCTAAATGGGAATGCATTACTAATAACATTTTAAAGCAAAGTAGTGAAATACATTTGTAAAAAAAAAAAAAAAGACCTTTCCAGCCATAGTCTCAAAACCATAATATATGTCACACTTAAACAGGATACTTAGTGTATAATAATTTACAGGGTTTTATTTTTAAAGAGACAGTTCACCCAAAAATTTAAATGTATTCACTATTTATTAAGTCTTAAGTGGTTCTAAACTCAAGAAAGCTGAAAACTTGTAACCATTGACATCAATAGTAGGAAAATCAAATACTATGGACGTAAATGGTTACAAATTTTAAGCTTTCTTCAAAATATATTGTCTTTAATGTTCGACAAAAGAAAGAAATATTTAAAACAAGTAAATGGTGTGTACACAATGGCAGAATAGTTTTTTTTTTTTTTTGGGGGGGGGGTGAACTGCCCCTTTAATAAAATAAAAAATTAAGATATATAAGACTTATATAAAATATAAGACTTGTAAAAAAATTGACAAAAATAAAAGGAGACACTTTATTTTGAATACAATTATTGTTCTCAGTAAACAGGCAAATATATGAAGCATATAATTAGATGCTTTGTGAGATTGTGTTGATTCTGAAGTAACCACTTACTTCCCTAGTAGAAGCCACAGGTCTTTGAAGCATTCATCTAATATTAATAGTCCTGTACCTGTGAATTGGCTCGCTCAACGCTGCTGTTTTTGTCACTCAGGAAGTCTACATCATGGCACACAGCTTTACGCATTCGACGGAAGTCCGAAAAGAGAGACAAAGAGGGCAGAAAGGAAAGCAAAGCAGAAAATGGCTTTCGCAAGTCTAGAGATGGACCAGCAAATAAGGTTTCCGTAAAGGTAACACTGTAATCGCAGTCAAACTCATTATTTTTCAGGTTTTAAGCATTTCTGCAAATGACACGTTGCTTATTTGAACTCTTGCAGCTTCTGAATCCCAACTACATTTATGATGGTAAGAAACAATATTGTTGTTTCGTTCTTGGAAGTCTGTCTGAAAAGATTCAGACGAGCCTTCAGTCATAATGAAAACAGTGAAATGACAGTGTGTGTTTTTCTGAATTACCGGCAGCAGTTCCCCCAGAGTTTGTGGTCCCGCTTGCGGAGGCCGTGTGTGACAGAGGTGACAGTGTGACACTCCGCTGTAAGATCTGTGGGCAGCCCAAAGCCTCGGTCTGCTGGAGAGGGCCTGACCAGAGCACTCTCAGCAGCGGTGGAAGATACACTCTCACACACAGGTAAAAACACTGACTGCAGGTGGCGCTTTTACTCCGTCTTTCAAATCTAGTGTTAGAAATAGACATTTTGCTGCTTTTGTTATTAGTGTTAGCTGATGACACATGTTGCTATGCTAAATGTTCTAGTTTTAATTGTTGTCATGAGAACAATGAGCTATTTTACCTAAAGGGAAAGTTCACCCAAAATTAGCATTTTTACTATTTACTCACCCTCATGTGCTTGTAACCTTTTATGAGTTTATTTCTTCCGTTAAAAACCTGTTACCTTTTGTAGTAGGGAAAATAAGTACTGTGGAAGTCAGTGGTTAGAGGTTTTTAGCATTCTTCAAAATATCTTCTTTTGTCCTATTTTAAATAGATGCATAGTTCACCCAAAATGATCATTTTCTCTATTTACTCACCCTCATGTGGGTGGACCATTTATGAGTTTCTTCTGTTGAATGGAAAATGAGATGTTTTGAAGAATTCTGAAAATTTTGTAGTAGGGAAAACGTAATTCACCTAAAATCAAAAATTGTACTATTTACTCATCCTCATGTGGTTGTAAATATTTATGAGTTTCTTCTGTTGAATGCAACAGAAAATATTTTGAAGAATGCTGAAAACATGTAACCATTGACTTTTTGTTGTAGAGAAAACAACTACTGTGGAAGTCAGTGGTTACAGGTTTTTAGCATTCTTCAAAATATCTTCTTTTGTCCTATTTTAAATAGAGACATAGTTCTCCCAAAATAATCGTTTTCTCTATTTACTCACCCTCATGTGGATGTATCCATTTATGAGTTTCTTCTGTTGAATGCAAAATGAGATGTTTTGAAGAATGCTGAAAATTTTGTAGTAGGTAAAACGTAGTTCACCTAAAATCAAAATTTGTACTATTTACTCACCCTCATGTGGTTGTAAATATTTATAAGTTTCTTCTGTTGAATGCAAAAGAAGATATTTTGAAGAATGCTGAAAACATGTTACCATTGACTTTTTGTTGTAGAGAAAAGCTGTACTGTGGAAGTCAGTGGTTACAGGTTTTTAGCATTCTTCAAAATATCTTCTTTTGTGCTGTTTTAACCTAAAAATGTAGTATTTACTCACCATCAGGTGGCTGTAAACGTTTGTTTCTTTGAAAGCAAAATATGATATTTTGACGAATGCTGAAAACTTGTTACCATTGACTTTCACTGTAGAGAAAACGAGTACTGTGGAAGTCAGTGGTTACAGGTTTTCAGCATTCTTCAAATTATCTTCTTTTGTGTTGAACAGAGGAAAAGGTTTGGATAAGGTAAAGAATGAGTAAATATTGGGCGAAGAAGTGGCGTAGTATGTAGTGCTGTCACCTCACAGCAAGAAGATAACTAGTTCGAGCCTTGGCTCGGTTGGCGTTTCTGTGTGGAGTTTGCATGTTCTCCCTGTGTTCGCGTGGGTTTCCTCCGGGCTGGATAAGTTGGCGGTTCATTTTGCTGTGGCGACCCTAGATTAATAAAGGGACTAAGCCAACAAGAAAATGAATGAATGAATGAGTTCATCAGACGCTGGATTCGAATCGAGTTCATGCTCGAACGTGTCAAAACATGTTATCATGCGTTTGCGCTACGCTACTCACGCTTTTAAAGACGCTGCAACATTTTACACCTAGAAATGACACTGAAATTTCTTTGTTAATCCACTATTTCTTTTTTAATGTTCAGACCCAACTGTGTTAACCGCATCAGCTAAACTCTCTCACTCTATTTTTTTCTTTTGTTATTAATTCCGGAGAACAAACTTGCAAATAACATCTTTTTCTCCGGTCTACATCTGAAAGCAGCACCTCCTATTCACATTCTGTTCAAAGTTGCTCTTTTTGCTTGCTTTTGCCATTGCTTTTTTGTTGGGTTTTGCCAAAGTAGAGTCGTTAGCATATTCATACGGGGGAGGAGGGAACATAACAGGTAGGGAGGGGTTTTGCACTCCTGCATGTTGCGCTCAGTTTCACGTTCATTCGGATGTACAAAAGATTATGCGTGTGATTCGGCGTACGCAGTGTTTGATACATCTGAATTTTTTTCTGCGTACGCACATTTACAGCTTTGTGCGTACGCAATGTTTTAGTATGATTTCCACGCAAGTCTTCGTACATGAGGCCCCAGGAGTTTAGAGTGCCCACGAGGCTATCGTCACTGACAAGATCGTATATTTTATACTGTAGTGTCCTGTTAATTTATTGTGTTTTAAACAGTTTTTGAATAGACAGCACAAAGCTTGTTTTGCTGTTTATTCATTTTTGTTACCTAATTCTTTTGTTTTTGTCCAGTGAGACAGGAGAGGTCACCCTCCGTATCTCCACTGCCACTCTGGAGGACAGCGGCACATACACCTGCATCGCCTCAAATGACGTGGGCTCAGTGACATCATCAGCCTACCTCAGAGTGCTCGGTCAGCTGACTTTATCAATCTGTTTATTAATCTTTTACTTTTTAGTTTTCTCCACGTTTGATAATTGAGTCTGTGACGTTGTTATTTTGTACATAGGCACATCCTGTGACGGAATTCTCTGGAAGGATAACTTTGAGTCTCTCTACACTGAAGTTATGGAGCTTGGGAGGTACTGTACAAATTAACTGCTGAATTAAAACACAACCTTCTTCTATGCAAACTACTGTACTTATGTTTTATAATAGCTAAAAATATGTTTGATGTTCCTCTTTAGAGGCAGGTTTGCCGTCACTAAGTGGTGTGAGCAGAGAGGAAGCAGGCGATCTGTGGCCGCAAAGCTCGTCAACAAGAAGCTAATGCGTCGAGAGCAGGTGGTTCAGGAGCTGGGGGTTTTACAGTGTCTTCAGCACCCTCACCTAGTGGGCTTGCTGGACACCTACGAGACCCCAGCCAGCTATGTTCTCATCCTGGAGATGTACGTGTAATGTATAGTCTTCACACAATTGACTCTAGAACTGTTACATGGAACAAAATGACCAATTGCTGTTTTACACAGTATGTCTGATAATATTTTTTCTTCTTTAGAAAGTTGTATTTGATTTATTTTGGCTAGAATAAAATCAGTTTTTAATTTCTTATAAATCATTTTAAGGTCAATATTGTTAGCCACTTTAAGCTAGATTTTTTTCAATAGTCTACAGAACAAACCATCGTTACACAATAACTTGCCTTATTACCCTATTCTGCCCAATTAACCTAGTTAAGCCTTTAAATGTCACTTTAAGCTGTATAGAAGTTAGGGATGCCACAGTTCTCAATATAATATTGAACCGTACAGTACGACCTCCATGGTTCAATACGCGCTTGTGAATTGCGGTTTTCTCGGTTTTGCGTTTAAATAATTTATGTGCGTTTTATATCTCCCCGAATTGACTGTGTGTGCCTGTAAGTCCATGATCTGAGATAAGGAAACTCCTCCCCTCGAGTAAAGATCCAATCACTATGCTCTAAAGTTAGTGGGCGCTTGACCATCATTCCACACTTTAACATTGCGAACGGTGTTAAATTGAGGCAACAGCACCAAGAAGCGCCGGCGAAGTGAGGCAATAGTACGAGAAAGCGCCGCTGTCTTTCAAATCTGCGGTATGAGGACATTTCGGTTTTACCAGTAAGCATAATGCCAATAAAAGAAAAAAACAGTGAACAAAAAATAACTGTGTGCAAGCATTGTTTTACACGTATAACCATGACTGCACATCTGCAGCGCCATCACCCAGCAATATCACTGTCTGAAGGCAGGATAGCAGATAAGGTAATAAAGTCCTCCAAACAGCAACAATCCCTCACTGAATCTACCCAACTGGTTCTGAGAGACACAAAAATAACAAAGGCAGTGCGGGTGTTTATTGCTAAAGATTTGCAGCCATTTTCGGAGATTGGAGATGTGGGCTTTTGTCATTTTATAAAAGCACTCGATCCGCATTACAGACTACAGTCTCACATTTTTTCAGCACCGAGATAATTAAGATGGTTTATTTATGTTGACTTAAGTACAAATATGTTTCTTTGAAATGGCCAATTTATCATTATTATCTTCACATGTATGTTTATTTTCAAAGTGTAGGGTTTTATGTGTTCCCCAGTTTGTACATGGGCTGCCAGCAGCTGTGAGATTTCAGTGTTAATTTTTTTATACAATACACCAGGAACTAGTGTCCTTTTCTTGGCTTTTAAGTAAAACAAAATGAGTATTGCAATAAATTGTTTTTATTTTTTTCTCCTTAACCTCTTACTGTTCCTATTGCCTATAGAATAAATAAAAACACACGTGTCAAGCCATGAGAACCGAACCGAACACTGTGTTAAAAAACAGAGGCATGTATTGAACTGTGGGCTGATTTTGAAAGCCTGCCTTTGAGAATAAAGAATTGACAATCTTAGATTATAAAATTTACAAATATGTTATTTCTATCATTATTTTGATCATTAGTTTTTGCATTCAATGTTTTCAGCATAACTGTAGTAGAATAACAATAGGTCCAAAATGATTGCCCACTCTGACAATTAACAAATAAATGACAAAAGGATTCCTCACAGTTTTTATAAAAGGCACATTCTTTCTCAGTATTCAATAATTTTGAGAGTAACAAGTTAGTTGGGTATAATTTGTGCAAAACGAACACTAGTCAGTGCTTCTCCTCAGTCTCAAGATTACTCACACTGATGCGTTAGCCACGCCCACTTATTTACATAAGTAGTCACTGTGTACATCTAATTTAAAAAATCAATTACGTTTGATAGCTTTTTCGACAGTAATAATATACATCATCTCTACACCCATCCCTAACTCCAGACATTACTTCATGAAGGCAGTGACATAATACATTTTTCAGCGCTTTACATTTAACGCTGGTGGTTTTAAGGTGCAAAACCATCTCTGGTGGTTCTAGTGTAAATGGTAATGGCAGCAATTTAGTAATTACATAAAAAAGTGAGCAATGTTTAGTAATTTATATTGTTGTAACACATTTTGTCTCTTTTTTTGTGCACATCAGCGCTGATCAAGGTCGTATCCTGGACTATATTGTTAGCTGGGGGAACTTGACTGAAGAAAAGGTGTCTCTTTACCTACGGGATGTTCTAGAAGCTTTACACTACCTTCACGCATGCAGGATTGCTCATCTTGACTTGAAGGTGGGCCTTTCTATACAATTATTCTTAATAAATGAATCTGGAAAGGTTGTTTTCAGATGATGTATTCACACTTTGTTTCATTTTCACTGTTAAAATTTACAAACGATTCATAATTCAAATGACATTTCATACACGCTTTAATAATGCTTTACGAATAATATATCACCAACAGATTCAAATAGAAGCTTAATCTTTAAAAACAGGCATAATTAAAAGGAGGTTTATTTAAGATACTGCTTTTTATGTTTTCGACTTACTTATGGAATAATTTAAATCAGTGCAATAAATTTGGATACATTAAGAGCTTATTTTATTTTATTAACATAAATATTGTCAAGAAATGTCATTTCTAGACCTACAGTAAAACAAAAAGCTTATTTCTATAATACATATGCAGTTTTGTAGTTATGTCATATAAATTTACCACATATGACTCTATTTTAACGATCTACACCAAAAGTCTAAAGCAGGGATCACCAAACTTGTTCCTGGAGGGCCGGTGTCCTGCAGATTTTAGCTCCAACCCTAATCAAACACACCTAAACAAGATAACAATAAGCTCTTAATAGGTATACTTGAAACACCCAGGCAGAGGTGTTGAGGCAAGTTGGAGCTAAACCCTGCAGGGCACCGAACCTCCAGGAACAAGATTGGTGACCCCTGCTCTAAAGCATTAAGGTCATGTCTGAATACACTTGTTATTTAAGGATGGGAAAATACAGTTTGTGCAATGGCGCACACTTGTTATTTAAGGATGGGAAAATACAGTTTGTGCAATGGCGCATGGTCTAACAGGGTTGTGCTTATTCTCTTAATGAGTTATGAGTGTGTTTTGAGCATAATGTGCATTAAACCAATCAGAGTCTCATCCCTTTAAAAGTCAGTTGCGTCACGCCATGGTGCATTTGCTATTTACCTGTACATGGCAAACTTTGTAAGTGGATAAACTGAACCGTGGCAAAAAACAGTTAAACAGACCATCTATGCGAGGATAAAGAATGAGCCTCCTCCATTCAGCCACTTTACTTTCTCTTTACTTTTATACCCTTTACTCATTCATTCTCATACATTCGTGATTTAAGGAAATGGTGGAAAAGCACTCCACTGAAGAAATTCCCTAGCCAGCATATTTAATTTTGTTTGTTAAGAGCAAAGATTTGCTTTAAAATTCAGTTCTAATTTTCAGCAAACGAATAAACAAACAATAATAACTAAGTCACGTCAAAAGTGAGTTATATTCAAACACACGTCCTGTTCTTATGCCCCATATGAAGATGCAGACGTCTCCAAAACCAGAAAGGTGGAGAAACCTGAACTTGTTTTTATTATTAATTTTTAAACAAACAAATATTCATATGCATTTTTTCCAATTCCTTTTTATTATATTTTAAGTATCATGTACATACACATTTCCATGTGTCAGATCCAACACAAACCAACAAATGAACAAACAAAACAAAACAAAATTCATATGCATTTAATAGATAATACTGTTAATAATAATAACATAATACAAATGCAGATTGTCATGAATAAACTGTAAAAAACCCACCGAGATGGAGGCAGTGGTTTTTATATTTATGTAGAAAATAATAACTTTTGTAACATATTAATCCTTACATTTTTTTTGTCATATGTAAAGATATTTGTGTATCGCTGTACATCCTGTGTCTAAGCATTTGGACCCGCTGTTTCAGTTCCTCAAAATAGCAAAACTCCAACAATGCGCCTTAACACATCTCCTGTTCAGCACACCCATGAGTCCACAAAGTGGCGCAAATGGATTTGCTATTTAAACAACATAGCGCAAAACGTGAAAATTACAGTTGCACTGGTCTGAAAATACCAACAAATCATCGAAAAATCATCATGTCCTGCTGTTAGAAGCATCATGTAAATCCATTAGTCATGAATAGTGTAAAATGTAAAGAATTCAGTTCCAGATTAATTGATTAAGTGGAATTTTTTACTGTTTTCTGTTGCAGAGTGAATTTCCCTGAACATTGTGTTATGAATCTTATACTTACTTTTAAAGTTATAGTTCACTCAAAAGTGAAATTTTACTATGTATTCACCCTTAAATGTTTCCAAACCTTTAGGCGTTTCTTTTTGTCTGTTGAATACGAACGAATATATTTTGAAGAAAGCTGAAAACCTGTAATCATTAGTAGGAAAAACAATGGAAGTCAATGGTTTCAGGTTTTCAGCTTTCTTCAAAATATCTTACGTTGTGTTCAACAAAAGAAAGAAACTTAAGTCAAGGTTGATTAAATGATGACAATTTTTATTGCTTGGGTGAACTATCACTTTTTATATAAAGTAAAGTCACCTTTCATATTTTGTTGAGTGTATTGAATGAACACAGCAGCTATTTTACATTTTACATGTACTATTTGTAAACAATTTTTTTTTTAACTTTTTCTCTAAACTGACTTGCTTTATAAATGAGGGCTGCAACAATCTTTTTATCACATGAGACGTATTGACAATGCGTTCATTTGTTTTGTAGAACAGGGTAGAGAAAGCAGACACTAAGAGATTTTATTTAAAGAGCAAGAACAGGATGCAGTAAAGTTCAGCACATATGATGAAATTGAAACTACTGCAGGACAGTTCCTCACATAAACACAGCAAATATAACAAGTTCTAACCTCTTCCTACTGACACATACTTTTATTAATATAAATAATTGCAATAAAAAAACTTAATAAATTATTATCAAAACATTTGTTAGGCAAACAAAACTTACTAATAATATAATTTATCAATATATGAAAGAAAGAATAATAAATCTATATTTCATGTGTCTATGATACTTTAGAAGTTACTTTTGTTACTGAGCTTTGAACAAATATATATATATATATAAAATATTTGTTTAAAGCTCAGTAACAAAAGTAACTTCTTTTGTTTTGCCCTTTGTTTTGAGTTTTTGTCCTAATCATTTTTTGATGACTATGCGTCATGGTTTTTATTTTAGTGATGGTTTCTATTTCTGTGATCTCACAGCAGAACAACAACATAAACTACTGTGACATCGATGATCTCACATGCTCATCATGTGCTTTATTCAGTGTTAAATGTTACCAGTATGAGTTTGAATACCATTTTACATGCCATACTGAAAGCAGCATCTGATAGTTTACCTCAGATCTTAAAAAATAAAATAACTAGCAAACAGTTTAAACAGCAAATCAACGACATCAGTCACTCATCATGTACATTTAATAATCTTAATGAGGTAACTTGCATATGAAGAGTTCAGATGCAAAACCCTCTAAATCCATCAGACCTTTTTTTTGTAAATGAGCATTTTCTAGCAGGCTCCTCTGATTAGGTTCAGAAGTTTTATTTTATATGTAATATTAAGGTTATTAGCTTGTAAATAATTTTATCTTTTTTCAAAAATGTCACTATAGACAATGCTTTGGTTTTTAACAAGGTAGATTTTCTTTGCCATCAAAACCAGCTAAATCCACTTGTGCTTTTTTTAGCAAAAACCTCTAAATTAACCTATAACCACTCATAAAATATGCTGATGATCTGGCATTGGTTTCATGTCAGGAAGAAATGAATAGCTCTTTATATATTAGATATATTGATAGTATTATAGATTGGTTTGGCAAAAGTTCATTACACCTAAATATTGGGAAAACAAAAGAGTTATGTCTGGGGAATCAAACAAGAAGAGTAGATACTGGACTCTTTAAACCAGTCACCATAAACGGACAAATAGTAGAGCAGGTTTCAAATTTCAAGTATTTAGGCACAATTATTGACAATAAATTGAATTTTAATAGTAATGTAGAGGCGGTTTATAAGAAAGCAAGTCAGCGCCTCTATCTCCTCCGCAAATTGAGAAGTTTTAATGTTAGTACACAGACTTTAAACTTGGCATATAGATCACTTATAGAGAGTGTTCTCACATATAATATTGTTTCATGGTTTGGTAACACAACACTTAAACAGAAAAAGAAATTAGCGCAAATTATCAATCAGGCAAATAAGATAACTGGTCACAAACAGCATTCATTGCAGATTTTATTTGACTCTTTTATGGAAAAAAGAGCAGTTGTGATTTTTTAAGATAATACACACCCCCTTCACTCAGCATTTGAATTGCTACCATCAGGACACAGGTTTAGAATTCCTAAAGCACGAAGAAATGCCTATAAAAAGTCATTTATCCCAATGACAGTTGTTGTTCTAAACCGGATCAATGTTTGTAGTGAATGAGGTGGTTACCAAGTATGATTTGCAGTATTGTGTATGGGGCTAATTTGGTTTTTAAACTTTTAACTTATGTTGTTGTGTTGATAAGTGTTATTGTGTCGTTGTTGTATGTTTGTAATTGTTGTCCTAAATCCAGTGTTGAAGAAAAAATTCCTTTCTGTGTCAAGCAGAATGGACAATAAAGTTTAAACTAAACTATTGGGACAAGACAGTGTAATTAGTTGTAAATGAAGATGCCATTAAAAATTATATTACCAACCATAAAACACATTCCACCAACCAACAAAAATTGAAAATACGTCTGTCAAGTAAGTGGCGGTTCATTCCACTGTGGTATCCCCTGATGTGACTAAGCATTAAGAAAATGAATGAATAAAATTTGTCAATAAGTGCATTAATTAATAACATTACAATTGACATTAATTAAATCTGTTAACAATCTGATGTCATTTCTGATATTTGGCATTTGGATTTAATGTAAGTAGAGCAATGTAAACAAGCTTGTTAGATTCAAATAATGTAGTGTAAAAACATTGTAAAACATCAATATCTGTGCACTGTCCATTACTAAAAAATAATATAATTTATTGAAGTAATATAAATAATGTATAGTTTTATACGTTATATTTATCTTTTAAAACATAGCTTGCATTAGCAAATAAAACACAAGGTAAGGCCTACTGTGCAAAAAAGAGGATGTCTCTCAGAAGCTGTCATTTATTCATCCTTGCTATACTCAATGTCTTGGTCTCTTTTTCATCCATTGTTTATTCTCATCCGCTTGTTAAGTGGTGACGTGTTTGTGACGTATGTAATACTGTTTCTGGGTCCAAGCCGCCACTCATTTGAGTGGAGAAATCATTCGTTTATGATCACATTTTATTCCTATTACACATTAAAGTTAATTTTACATAAAGTGTACACAACAATCTCTGGACTTGCTGCATAACAAATACCAAAAATTAACCAATTTATAAAAAACAATCACTTTCTGGCCATTGGATATTAGGCATGGACATATATACTGCGATCGTGATTTTCGAAAGCCTTAAATCGCTTTGTAAACGTTTATAATTACCATTTCATGAGTCTCCCCATTCAGTTGAATAGAGCGCTTGGACCCGGAAGCCGCTTCGCGTGACGTCACACTTAACAAGCGGATAGCATCCATGCGGGATAAAAGAATGGCATCTTAACTTCGTCTTTCATGAAATGGAGTTACTGTTTTAATGTAGCTATAGTAAATCGAACTCATTCAAAGTAGCGCCACAGCGCAAACAAACGTTATGAATGCATGTTACCCTCCGACTGTAAATTTGTGTTTTTTTTTTTTGTCTTAAAATCCATATTATTGTCTTATAATAGTTTTGTTTTTAGGTAAGAGACAATTTCATTTGCCATTCACTGACAGTCGGACATTTCATGCAGTTCATCAAACTTCATCTTTTAAAATCAAGATCGGAACAAAATAGTCTCCTCATAAAAGATGGCGTATCAGTGCGCTGCTACATTGAAAACATATGATTCGATTAGTGCCTTCTGATTGTTTCTCGGGATATAGTTGCGTTTGCTGTTAAAGGCAAGTGGCGCTTAGGCTTTTGCAAACTAACTGTTATTTCTGAATGCGCTGATGTTGCGATTTTAGATTATTTCAAACAAATCTGTTTGTTGAACATATAGTACGTGCCTAAAGGCTGACAAGCACACGCGTATGCTAGATTGCAGCCTGCGCATGGATGCATAACCCTCGCCGTGGTCGTCGGCGTCGCTGACGCACACCTCTCAAAAAATTTAACTACACATTGCAATGGCGCTCAGCGTAAGCTCTGTGATTGGCCAGCTTGGTACCGCTTGACAAGTGTGGACGGAACTGAGAGCCGCGCAAGCCAGATGGAGCAATTGTGTGGAGTCCTGTGAAGGAGCTCCTGATGGAAAGTTTTGTTTTTTGTTTACCTCATTGTTAAAGTTGTTGCACATCCGCCGGTTCCTGCCTTAAAATGAGCAAGTTTGAACCACATGTACATTTAAGGAAGCATTCAGAGAAAAACAAAACACCAGCGAAGAAACTCAACACAGAGGAACATAAACACCTCACTGCCAGCTAGCGTTTCAGAAGTGTTATTGCAGAGCAACAGAAACAGTGCTCTGAAGTATGAATGCACAGCTACGAGCGTTGCATGTGCCTTGGGTCACGCCGATCACATGCTTACCACGCCGATGTCATTATCTCATTTTTGGCAGAAGTGGCGTTTAGCGGCTTTTGCATCTGAACCCTTCATATATACTTACATGATAACTTGTCCATTGAGAGTGCAGTTCATTATTCTGCCTTAATCACTACCAGTCCTGTAATCAGCTGTAAATCTCTAGCACTTGTGTTTAGCTGGAGCAGCATTTACTCTTACAAAGCCATTGGCTGCTTCCTAAATCACCTACTGTTCACTAAGCTCTGTGATTGGTCGGCTTGGTAGCGCTAACCAATGTGGGCGGGACAGAGAGTCGCGCAAACTCGTCGGAGCGAGAGTTTACAAGTGTTGAGTCTCATGAAGGAGCCCCAGATGGAAACTGTTGTTTTGTATTTACCTTATGATTAAAGTTGTTGCTTGACTGCCGGTTCCCGTCTCAAAAGGAGCGAGTTTGAGCCACATGTACATTAAGGTGGCATTCAGAACAAACAAAACACCAGCAACATAAACACCTCACTGCCAGTTAGCGTTTCTGAAATGCTATGGCAGAGCAACACAAACAGCACGCAGAACTATAAATGCACGGCAACGCACAAGGCATGTCCCGTGGGTCTTGCGGATCACTCGATGCAAAAGTATAAACCAGGCTTAAGGCTGCGCCGGACCATTTGCGTATGCTCGACGCAGAAGAGCTGGGTCATGCGGTAAGGAAGTAATCTAAAAAAAAATGACCTGGAAAACTTAGATCCATTACTGAATGTCGATTTTGATTACTTTTGATTAACCATCCAGCCCTATCACATCACCATATTTCCCCCACATGATGTCCAAGATAATTATAGCTTTTGCTAAATCATAAATGCGATTATATATTAATTTGTTGCCCTAATTTTTATGCTTCCAAAAAAATATCAATCCATCGTCAACCTAACCCATACACCACCGGGGAGTTAATGCATGTCTTACTAAGCAGATCAATGTCTTTTTGTAACAAATATGCAATTTTTTTATTATAATCTTTAATCACTTCCACCAGTGACCGAATGCACAACTGACGTATATGACGTATAAGTACCTTATATTTTGATGCTGCCTTTTTCCTCTGTAATTACTGCCCATTATCCCACACTTATTATCTGCTTTATGTGTGTTTCAGCCTGAGAATGTATTAATCGAGCAAACGTCAGCCAAGCCTCTAGTCAAACTGGCGGACTTTGGCGACGCGGCGCATCTCTCCAACACCCCTTACATCCACCCTCTGCTGGGCAGCCCTGAGTTCTCGGCCCCAGAGCTGGTGTTGGGTGAGCCCGCAGCTCTGGCGTCTGACCTCTGGAGTTTAGGCGTGTTGGCGTACGTAATGCTCAGCGGCGCGTCTCCGTTCCTGGACGAAAGTGTGGAGGAGACCTGCCTCAACATCTGCCGCATTGACTTCAGCTTCCCGGAGGACTACTTCCACGGCGTGAGTCAGGCGGCGCGGGACTTTATATGCATGTTACTCCAAGGTGAGCCATGTAGACGTCCCTCTGCACAGGTTTGCCTTCACGAGGAGTTCTGGCTACAGCCTGACACCACCTCCAGCGCAGCTCGCCTTGACACTTCCAGACTTATCTCTTTTATAGAGCGGAGGAAACATCAGAACGATTTACGCCCCGTCGCCAGTTTCCAAGCATTTCTGCGTAGTCGCCTTCTCAGTCAGACCTGAAAGATACGCTGGAGTGGAAATCCATTTAAGATATAGATGATACGCTGAAATCTCATCCTTGTTTTAGAGTCATTCTGAAACGGTTCTGGGTCTCTGTTACTGTAACTGCTGCTGACTAAACTCTCTGAAGTCCTTTTTCCAACCCTTCAAAACAATCATTTCAGCTACATGTTCGTTCTCTCTTTCCATGGACGACACTCACAAGGGGGAAATAAATGTGAATTAGGAAGGGGGAATTCGTTTGCTTTCGAAGTTTGTTCGTTTGTTTGAAAGGTTGTTCCCTGAGCCAGGTTTAGCTTTGTGTTTGGACAGTATTTGAATCAGGTTGTTTCAATGGAGTACTGTAATTTGAATCGCTACATTCAGGAAAGACTACATTTTGTACAAACCATGTATAGAAGCACAGCAAAGATCTTTATCCTGAACGTTTTGGAGAATAAAAGCAAAATAAGCTTATTTAAATATTTAAAGGGAAGTTCAATTGGTTGAATTATTGGTTGGTATTCATCTCCATGTTTAATAAGCATACAGTCCTACTGGAATTCAATCGTAACGAATAATACAACAGAATTTAATCAAATAAGCTTAGCGTCGTTTCAGTTCTGTCCATCAGCCTTATGTTGTAAATAAACTGGACCTGCCTTCGTTCATATTTCATTTGCAGTTTTGGAAATGAGTGCTTTCTCATTGGCTGATCGTGACTTTCAACTGACCGTTTACAATCGGTATCCGCGCAAATGTGCACTCTTTGTAATTTTGTTGAAACGTGCAATGTTGGGGCTTGAACATTTTTGCAGCTATTTCTAACGATTCATGTCAAACTGTTATGTACATGTATCAGCCACTGCGAGTTGAGATATGATGTGTACGTGGCTCTTTTGATGAGTTCTCTGTGTTCAGTATTTTTTGGGTAAGCTTAAGCCTCATTGGTGAACATCATCTGTGTCTTCGTCGCACCTCCATGATGAATGTCGTTATTTTTATCGTTATACCAAAGTTAATGCTCATGTACCTAAATGCTTCTTCTCCCTATTTGGTGGTTATAATTTGTAACAATAAGTTATGAATGCAATTCTGACTCCCGACGCGGGAGTTTACATGTACTGATTGTTGATTTATTTATTGTGTCTTGTTCGGTTTTCGCTAATCGAATTTTACGAAAGTAGTGCTTCGTATTTGTCAGATTATTAGACGTTTTCATTTCCATATCTGCTCGTTGTAGCAGTAGTCTGTTAATGTAAGTTTGCATGACTAAATAGCTTTTTGGTTTTGTTTCTTTGTTTGTTTTCAGTTCACTTTGTTTTAAATAGAATGGGATGAATCGTTCCCTGATGTACAGGGGGAAAATACCAATTTTGTTGCCTCTAAATTGTAGGTTTAAAGCTGAAGAGGCAAATTGCGTTTGTCTAATGACCCAAAATTGTATCTCTTGTCACTAAAACACTTAATTTCTAAATTCCGAAGGAGGTAAATTACGAGCTGGGTCAGTAATGTTGGATTGAGTTGTTCATGTTTTATTTAAGTTAGTTTCTCATGATGTATAGCTGTACAGACACCATAAAAACTGGACGTAGCGACATTGTTTTTTTACATAATGTCATTTTGAATGTTAATTTTGCATGTATATTTCTTTGTACATATACCATACATGTTTGCACATTCTGTGCTGTACATAAGTTACTTTACCCTCAGTTATTTTTTGAGATTAAACATCTGAAACATTTTATTCGTACAACTAGTCTCCTCATGTGTCTTATTATAAGCATAAGGGATCAGATACATTATATAACAGTAGCATTGTTTATGGTTTAACTTTGGTCACGCTTTAATTCTCCCTATTAACAAACTATTCATTATTCAAGAGTTCACATTTAGCTGATGATTGATAATAAAGCATATTTGACATGCTGTCCCAGGAGAGAGGCCTAAGCTCAGAATATCCTTGAGCCCGGGGCCCCCTCCCATTTGAAAGGCGAGAGGAGAGTTTGAGCTCAGGTAGGTCTCGAGAACTCTCCTGCTTGTGAACTGCTGAGATAAATTTGACTAAGAGTTGCCTTAGGATGCTGTTTTGAAGTAGTCAATTTGCTTATAGTGTATGTCTTAGGACGATGGGAGGAAACTGGAAAATCTGAGGAAAAGCCACGCAAACATGGGGAGAACGTGCAAACTCCGCACAGAAACGCCAACCAGCTCGGAGAGGACCGAACCACTGGCGTTCTTGCTGTGAGGCAACAGTGCTAACCATTGGGCCGCCATGGGGCCGTGGACTAGTACCGGTCAATGGTTCAATTGGTACCGGACCGCACAAGAAATCATTAATTATTTCCATTTTATTTATCTGAGTCTGAACAATCTTTCATTTTGGAAAATCTTTTATTTTGAAAAATGACTGTATTCTCTCACTTACGTCTCGGTCACTTGAGCGCCCAAATTTAACCCACAAGCACTTGGAAAGCACTTGGAAATCTTTGCTAAGGGGAAAAGGCCCAGTGGAGGACCCACAAACTGCTAAGGAATGGATCCGCAATTCATTTGACAACAGATCAGATTAATCCAGCATGTCTGTGCAAGAAGAAGGTCAACTCCTGGAGATCGCAAATGATGGAGGCCTTTTAGGGGCCATTCACATGTCGTTACTTTTCTAGAGTTCCCGCAAGTTTCATATTTCCAGTGGAGGTGCATGGCCTGTGCACGCAAGTGGCGTGAAACCAGATTCACACGGGGCTTCAGTGTCAACGCTTGACCAAGGGAGTGTCTGAAGTTGGGGCTGGCAGGATTGTCTTAGCATTGTCATCCAATGAAGTTAGTCCGCAATCGGCTACTGTCTGAGCTGGGGTATTTGAATGAAGCAATCTGATTGGCTGACGTTTCCGTTGGCGCTTAAAGTTGAGAAATTACCAACTTCTGCAGCGAGCAACACCACTGAAACAGCATCAGCAGATCCACAATGCAGTTCGGCAACGCCTGACCTCACTCATTCAAAGTGAATGGGAAGTATTGAAGCTCATTCACACGAGGCGTGATGAAGGCTGACATTAGCCTGGCGCCGCAGCGTCAAAAATAACAGCCGGAAAGCCGTCCATACGGAGGTAAGCGTGAAAAGGACTGGCATCATACCGCCCTGTAATGCCAATTTAAAAAATGAGAATGAGAATGAGCCTATGTTGTCGCATTTTCCAACTCGAGGGATGTGTGCATAAATCATGTCAAACATAAAAAAAATAAAAAACACTAAACCCGTGCAGCGTCATTTTAAAAAATCCTGCCACAGGATGTCTATTCTATTCTTTGCATTGACTTATGTAAATCGCTAGCGATTGACGCTTCATCCACGTCTGATGTGAACACAGCATAATAATGCCAGTATACAGCATACCATAAACAGGGCTGGAAATTAACCTTTTTGCTTGGTAGCACCGGTGCTCCTGACTTTAAAAATTTAGGCGAATCAGCCAAAATTTAGTCGCACTTATAAGCATCATTACTACAAGTTTTATACAAACACATTTATTGCATTTGAAATCAACACTAATCAAACTAACAAGCAAAAAATATATATATATGCAAGCGTGAGGAAAATATGTCTCTACGAAATCTCGTTATCACAAGAAAAATACATTTTATAACAGAACTGATCTGACCAAAAAATACGCAGAGTGCTCACCGGCCCTGCACGCACTGCTTGACATAAATGAATCTGTTAATGATATAACTGTGCTGTTCTCACGGGTCATGTCTGATATTGCACTGATGCTTTTGACATATACTGTACCTTATTATATGCATACGTCATGTTAATAGCAATACCGGTCTTTTCATGAGTTGCGATATTAGTTTACTCAGTGTAAGCCCGTTTGCGATGGTGTACGTGGTGTTTAATTTTACATATAGCTGGCATTGCACGGCAGACAGCATCTGGCGATTATATGAAGGATTCAACAAAAGCTTGTGCTAGATGTGACACGCAGTTACCTGAAAATTCCACCCCGCAGACTTTTCATAGCGGACATTAAGCCAATAGAATTCTCATCTTCAGCGCTTTACATTTTTTTCGCGGTAGTAGCTCTCTTTGTCATCCCAAGCCAGAAGGCACTGACTGAGTGATTGACAGCTGATATCAACCAATCATTTGTGTTCAGTGCTAGAGCAGTGGACCAATAAGAAAAGCGCGAAGGCGGGGCAAACATTAACGACTTGGCTTTGTTTACTGCAGCAAGTTGACATGACAACTGTTTTAAACCATTCCTGAGATGCATGAGATGCAGAGATGCATTCTGCTTGAATGTCTCCCGAATCCGCGCATGTGGTGAACATTTTGCAGTAAAAACTGGTCGCACACAACAATTTTTTGCACTAGCACGAATACTCCGAAATATATTTTGAGGTCGCATAGATAAAATTTCGGCCGCATATGCGACCAAAGTGGTCGCAATTTCGAGCCCTGCATAAAAGGGTTTGGGTGGATATGCTCATTTCACAACTACCTCATTACACTGGTGACTTTTACGATTTTAATCTATTGAGCTGACCTAGTCTGGCAAGAACACTTTTAGCTTAGCTTAGCATAGATCATTGAATCGGGTTAAACCATTAGCATCTCACTCAAAATTTTCAAAAAAGGAGTTTTGATAATTTTATATACTTTTTACAGGCTGCAGAATATAATTGCGCCTGCTGCAGCCATGGCACAGGTAACTACAGAAGTCAAGTTTTAAATGTATTCATGTATTTATTAATTAATTAACTAATTTATTTATTTATTTATTTTGAGTGAGATGCTATTGGTCTAATCTGATTCAATGATTTATGCTAAGCTAAGATAAAGTGCTCAGACCTGGTGATTGGCTGAATGGATTCTAAAATGCTAAAACTCAACACTTTAAATCTGGATGACATGTAAAATGAGCCTAAATAAATAAATAAACAAACAAACAAACAAAATCTGCCTTTAATAAAGTAATTAATTTTATATTTTGGATGGGGTCTGTGATGCAGAATAAGATCCTGCAGATACAGAATAAGTACTAAAATCAAACAACTAATATCTTATTAATAGGCAGGCATGAAGTAACTAGTCAATGGAAAGAATTGGTCTTTAAACGGTTTACCATAAGTTTGAAGTCACACATTTATCTACACTGATCTGAAGATTAGTATTTTTACATATTTCCTGTATTGTTCTCTTGAGGCTTGATTCAGACCATGTTAAAAACCATCCGGAGCTTCTGAGGAAACAGGCAGGTGTGAAAGTTGCATTTGCAGGTGCTGTGCACTTTGGTAAGATCACAAAACGGATAACTGACTAATTAAACCTCCCCAGATCTTATCGCAGTGTCTGCATGCAACTGAGCTGCAGATGCATTAGACTGTGAGAATTGTTTTAAAGGTCGAAACAGAAGCCATGCACAGACATAGATTTTAGCCTCGCTAGGACAAAGGTTTATTCATGTGTGCTGCTTTTATGTTCTAAATACTTAAGAGTATTTTGAAGAATGTATCTTAAGTATGCTTGACTTTAAAGTGTACTTTCGTTAGCTACAAGATGTGCTTCTAACGTGTTCACTTAGTAGGCTAAACATCCTCCTAAGTGTACTGTACTTGTTTATAATAAGTTTATAATACGTTTTAACTCTTAAGTTCTTATTTACAAATTTATAACATGTTTCCATTTATTAATTATGTATTTATAGGTACAAAAAAATGATATATACAGTTAAAGTCAGAATTATTAGCCCCTCTTTGAATTTTGTAATCTTTTTTTAAATATTTCCCAAATGATGTTTAACAGAGCAAGGAAATTTTCACTGTGTGTCTGATAATATTTTTTCTTCTAGAAAAAGATTTGTTTGTTTTGTTTCGGCTAGAATAAAAGCAGTTATTAATTTTTTAAACACCGTTTTGAGGTCAATATTATTAGCCCCTTTAAGCTATATATTTTTCCCACAGTCTACAGAACAAACCATCGTTATACAACTTAATTACTCTAACCTGCCTAGTTAGCCTGATTAACCTAGTTAAGGCTTTAATTGTCACTTTAAGCTGTATAGAAGTGAAAAATATCTACTAAAATATTATTTACTGTAATCACAGCAAAGATTAAATAAATCCACTATTAAAAATTAAATTAAAACTATTATGTTTAGAAATGTGTTGAAGAAATCTGCTCTCCATTAAAAAGAAATTGGGGAAAAAATAAACAAGGGGGCTAATAATTCTGACTTCAACTGTATGTATACTGTAAAGAATGATATGATCACGTAGTCATATAATATAAAAGTCTTCAACTTTTCTATCAGTTTAATTGATGTAAATTTAAATAACTTGTAAAATTTATTTGACGCAGCAACAATTTTATTAAGTTACTTTGGGTTAACTTAGAGTAAAAGGCAGTTTATGGTGTATATAGACAAACTAATTACTGTAATTAATTAAAAACAATAAGTATAAAATGAATTACTGTTAATTAAGAATTTAATTACAAGTGCTCATAATGTATACTTGATTTAAATACTAATAAATTCAACAGTTCTGTATAAATTATTTTTGTAAATTTATAGTTGAAGTCAGAATTATTAGCCCAACCCCCACCCCTGTTTTTTCCTTAATTTCTGTTTAACAGAGAAGATTTTTTTCAACACATTTCTAAAGATAATAGTTTTAAAAATTCATGTCTAATAACTTATTTATTTTATTTTTGCCATGATGACATTACATAATATTTTACTAGATATTTTA